AATTTCATGGGTATTCATTTCAAGAAAATGTTGCATGTGACTTGAGTTGAACTGTAAATAAAGTTTCCAAGTTTTGGAAGGATGTTTGTTGTGTTTTGTCTTTTCCTCTTCCAGATGTAGTCAAAATGTATCACTAAACTGACAACTCAGGAAAAATAATGTTTGTATGTCCTGTCTCAAGATGCATTCAGTACCTCTTGGCTGGACTGATGTAACTCAGTATTAGCAGGGTGTTCTAAAAGTTCCCTGAAAGCCGTCTGTTGATCCAAAACTATACTGTGAGACTAGAAATTCTCTGTATTTGCTTCCTGTTAAATCCACAAACTATCTCATGCTTAGTTGTCTAAATTTTTCTCCAGAATATCTTACAGAGATTTTTACCCCACAGTTTAAACCACCTTGAAGCGACTGTTATTGTGATTTGATGCTATATAAATAAACCTGATTTGAATTAAATCAAAATTATAAATATAAATAAAAATTATGTTCCACTGTTATCCTGGTGACTGACAATGGCTTCAGAAAATTAAGGCCACCTCTGCTTAAGTCTTTGTTGTTGTTTTTTTTCTTCACTGATATCATTTACTCCTTGTTGGGACTGTTTGCCAGTAAATATGATGCACCAGCGCCACCTTCTGGTTAAATACTCAAATGTTTAAACTGCATTTTCAGTTACAATATAATAATTTTTTGCTGACTGCATACTTCCTGGTATTGCAGATGGATGCGGTCCTGGTTGTTGAGCAGGACAGACGAGAGGCAACTGTAACACTTTTATTTTCTCCAAAAAGAAATAAACTAGAATCATGACACTGGGCATGCCCAGTAGGATTCTTCCTGCATATGAAAGGAAGCAGGACAATTTTAATAACAAGTTTTGACAAAATTGATACATTTTTTTTGATGTAGCTGCAAACATTTTTCTTCCACACACATGGGTACTACACACCGGGCCACAAAGGGATGGACATGGTCAATACTCAGGTAGTCTGTGGTGTTTAAATGATGCTCAGCTGGTGCCAAGAAAATATCCCCCGCATCACTAAACCAGCACCAGCCTGAACCATTGACACAAGGTAAGCTGGATCCATGCTTTTATGTTGTTTACACCAAATTCTAACCCTTCCATCCAAATGTTTCAGCAGTTATCGAGAGTCATCAGACCAGACAACATTTTTCCAATTTTCTGTTGCCCAATTTTGGTGAGCCCTTGTGAATGGTAGCTTCAGTTTCCTGTCCTTAGTTGTGGCACCCGGTATGTCCATCTGCTTCAAGGATCAACGTGTTTTGCATTCAGAGATGCTTCTAGGCATACCCAATTAAGTTACTGGAGTTACTGTTGCTTGTGAGAATCTTCTCTGTGAATCCTAGAGATGGTTGTGCAGGAAAATCCCAGCACATCATTGGTTTCTGAAATACTCAGATTACTACAATAATCAGACTACAAATACTCTGGCCCCAGCATTATGCCACATTCAAGGTCACTTAAATCCCCCTTCTTCCTCATTCTCATGCTCAGATTGAACATCAGCAGGTCACCTAGACCATGTCTATATGCCTAAATGCACGGAGTCACTGCCACATGACTGGCTGATGAGATATTTGGGTTTATGAGCAGCTGAACAGGTTTACCTAATATAGTGGCCTTCAGTCTATCTAAAATATTAATTTCAATATTGATTTGCATGGTTTTTAAAAGTGGTTTGAGTGCATAAGACTTGGACTTACAGTACCCTTCGTAGGTGTCCTTTTATTTGAAATACAGTGGAAAATGTTCCCAACCACTGTTACAGCCAGGGACACTCTAACAGTCTCACTTTGTGCTTTAAATTGAATATTTTTACCTGTCAGTAAGAATATATGCATTGATTGCATCAAAGGATGATGTCATAATTCAATTAACCTGTCCCCAGCCTCTCGTCCTCAGGACTCATCCACTGTTGTCGTGGCTACTATAAGGTTGTTTCTACTTAAACAAATGGGAGCACTCAGAAACATCTGGCCACACGGCATTTCGACACAGCAGCTGGTTTTAACTCATGTTAGAAACCCTTCATCAGGGCACAGCACACTCAGTCTGTTTTGTGTCTGTTTCAGTAAACAGTGGCTCATACACATGTTAATAACTGACAGAGAGAACAGGCTGAGAAAGTGCTGGTGTGGCTTGTTTTTGTCACCCTGTAAAATGGTCTCAAGTTTGAGGACATTGTTATCCTAATGCTAGTGTAATGCTACTTTACTTCAACACCAATCACTTTTATGTCAGCATTCCTATTTCAGCCTCTCCCTTTTATCTGACTGTGAACTCATGTCTTGTGTGCGCATTTTAGTGAGCGTTTGAATTTGTGTCATACGACATACAAACTAGCACCCACAAACTTAAAATCTATAAATATTAGTTAGCACTTTATAATGATGTCACGCTATTAAGCACTAGTAATATATTAGTAAAGTGCTAGTAAGAGCTTCATTCATCATTTATGATGACATTTATAAATACAGATACATCATTATGATTATATATTTATAAATGACACACTAAGGAGGAGTAATGCTCTGTAAAAGATTAACTAAGCACTTGCTAATACCTTATTTAATACTTAATAGTGTGACATTATTATAAAGTGCTAGCAAATATTTTATATTGTTTTTAAGAAGAGAAACCATCAGAATATCTGTGAAAACTCCAATAGACGACTCATTTGATCTGACCCATGATGGGAAACTGGTCCAGTGTCTAAAAATGTATTTTATTTAACAAGGGGCTGTCCTGACATAGATTATGATGTATTACTTGATAGATAGATGTTTGTTTGTCTTTTTTAATTATCAACCCTAAAACTGACAAGTTAGCATAGATACATCAGCCCACTCATGTGAAATCGAGGACTAGGCCTGGTCCTCTCAGCCACCTCAGACCAAAATCAATTAAATGCTGAACGTCCAGTGTTGCTTTGGCAACAGTTTGAAATGGTTTGCAATTACTCTCTGTTGAATTTTAAAGCGATAAGATGGCCCACTTTACCTCATGTCCCGGTTTTGTTGGGATCACACTATTGATCGGTCTTCCACTGTCTATCCTGAAGCGCCAAATGATGTTTTTAAAATCTGCTTCAAAAGACTCCATGATCTGATTTATTTTCTTCTTGAATTCAGATAATCGAAGGTAGACTTCCTTACTTTATGTTGATTACATAGGAAATAATAACATTTTTTATTACAGTGTTATAACTCCATCTGAGTCAAAGTGATCAAAAAGGTCATTTCAACATATATTTAAAGTAAGGAAGAGAAAAGCACAACAAACTTTCGGTTTGATCACTTTTATTAAAACGTGACCACTTTGCATCACCTAGATCTTAAAACCTGTCAACAGAAGTGCTTCATGTCATGATTACACTGTTTGATATTTAAGGATACATTGTGTGCGATGCCTCTCTGTGAATAACAAAGATCAGATGAAGGCAACACAAGAAGAAGCTAAACAGGAAGGAGGCGCTTAAAGAGTGAGACAGTGAAGTAGCACACATCCAGACTGCTCATGAACATGATCCCAGTGGGAGAGGCCACCGCGGCGTTGCTTGAAGTGCTGTTAGATGTTGTTGCAGTGTTGTTCGCAGTAGCGGTGCTGATTGTGCTTGTCATGTTTGTTGCAGTCGTGGCAGTGGCAAAGGTGGGAGCGGTTGAATTTACAGTGGAATTTGTCTGGGCATTTGCTGATGCTGCTGATGAGTAAAACATCCGTATGAGACAGAAAGAGAATAAATGAGAAACTGTGTTTTACTCGCCGATGATCAGGATCTGTATCAGAATGGTCAGAAGCATTTTTGATCTCTGTAATGCCTGAAAACCAAAAGGAAAATTGTAATATTTTGACTTTAAACATTACTGTATAACAAGCAAACGGTCTAAAAAAGAAAGCTGAACAACCTGTTAAAAGTGTGTTACTTACAACACTCCTGTATTTTAATTTCTCTCAGCTCAGTTGTGAACTTGTCTCAGTGCCGAGTCTTCTTGCACCTCAGATGAGCAACTTCGCCTCAAGCTGTGAGTTCTTCCCGTCTTTTATACTGTGAATGGCAGACATGAGGAATGACATGAAAGAGACACCTTTGAAGGATGGCCATTCCTTTCACAGCAGTCACCTAAGTTTAACAAACTGCTTTGTTCATGCGTGCATCTCCAGGATTGTGAGATTATTGACAGATTACAAAGGAATCGGGTTGGTCGCAGGTGAAGAGAAGCAGGGCGTGTGTTCAACATGCTAAAGCCATGTCTTGTGTATGAATACTTACTGGTGACGTTAACGTGTCACGACCAAGGTTAGAAGAAAAGTCCCACAGACTCATCCAGTGGACATCATCTCTTACAGCAGGATGATTCTGCTTTATTCATATAATCATTTTTTAACTGCACTTAAACAACTTCTATTTTTCTTAGGCTGTCTGGAGAAAAACATGTTAGATCTTCCTCCAGAACAAAAACTCCAGACACAAAGAAAAATCTTTTGATTGAATTGGACTCTTTTAAAAAAAACCAAAAAACTACAGTGCACCTATCTTCAGATGGCTGCGTCCCACAGGACATGACAGTGATATGGACCAAAATCTCTGACGAAATGTTTCAAGCAGCTTGTTGAATCTACGCCATGAATTAAAACTGCTCTGAAGGCAAAAAGGGGGTCAAACTCAGTACTAGCAAGACTTTAAATCTTAAGAACGCGATGCTTTTATAGTTCAAAAATGTACTTTTGGAGGACAATCTGCTCATAAATGATCTCAGACTCCCATTTCTGAAGTTCTGAATAAACCATCAGTTCACAGCCCATTAATCATCAAACACAGTTTCACAAATATAAAACCAGCATTATTATAGTTGCACTGAAATGAGTTTGTAGTGATATAAAAATACTGTCAGCCACCAGTGCTCCCCCTCAGCCTCAGTGAAGTTTTAATAAATAAATGAGTGGAAGACAAGAATGAGTCAAAATCCAGAACAGATAAATTTTATCACATTTATTTCTGGACTTTAAGTTAAATCTTGGTCAGAGTTCTTCTGTTTCTTTGTGGGTTTGCCGCTCTGCTTCTGTGACTTCTGCAGCAGAGCCAGCGTGTCTCGCTTCTCAATCTTTCTGAGATGTTTCTTCTTCATCCTCTTGATCTTTGACGTATTCCGGATCTGAGAAACAAATGAGACATAAAAGTCAAATATGAGCTGATTGGAATATTACAATAAACCGAGAAAGCATTGACACACGAGGGACTGAAGAATATGCCAGTATTTCTTTTAGCTGGAGACAAGTCGACATACCACTTGAACAATCTCAGCTTTGCGTTCGTTCTCTTCTCGACGTTTTAAGTTTTCTTCTCTTCTTTTCCTCTTTTCCTATTAAAACAGGCAAAAACACAAAAACAAGTGAGGTGCAAAGCGTTGACAACACAATGGTCAAGCAGACCTGCATCACTCACACAGCCTGCCTCCTTACCTCCTTCTGCCGAGCTTTCTCATCCTTAAGCTGCAAAGAATACTGCTTCACCAGTGCCTTCTCCCGCTTGGCCTCCATCTTCTTTTCCCAAGAGGAGCACAATTGTTTGTCTCTCACTAAAGCTGAAAACCTTCGAAGACAAAAAAGGTTCACACTAAAGTTTTACCAACAAACTTTAGGGCGATCTGTACAAGACATCTCGTTATAAACGAAACCTTATTACCAAGAACTCTCATCACCATCCTCATTAACTGCCATGTACGTACTTTTCATTCACATACAGTACTATATAATAATAATAATAATAATAATAATAATAATAATAATAATAATAATAATAATCGTCCTCACCTCGCCTTGCTCCGGTCCTTCCACACTCTTCCAGATTTCGGTTTTCCCAGAGGAATGGCCGGGCGGGGCTTCTCACTGGGAGCTAGGTGAGGCTTCTTCGGGACCGGCTCTGCTGGAACAGGTCTGGACAGAGGAGCGTCTCCGCTGCCGTTAACTGTGGATTTGTTTTCTGTATCCGCCGCTGGAGTCACTGTCTGTGGCTCAGCTGGTTCCGGTGTCGGCTGCTCTGCCCCGGGACAGGGCTCTGGTTCCGCTGGCATGCTGGACCTGTCCTCGGCCGGACTCATAGGTTTCTCCTCTGTATTTGTTTCCTCCACCTCTACCGGTAGCTCCTGGAGGACTGACCTCCTGCTCCTCCGGCTGGGAGTCCTCACCGGGGCTTCAGAGCCGAGCACCGGTGCTGGAGTCCGGAACGTGCGGCCGCTGCGGGTCCGTCTGCCCTCCGCCGGTGGTTCCTGGACCTGCTCCGGTTCCGCCTCATCGGCGGCTTTCTCTTCTGACACGGGTTTTCCTCTTTTTGGCATATTTTTAAATAAAGTAACAGCTCATTACTAAACCGTACTTCTGTTTCCACGTGTGAGCTCTCCCAGCGTTGTGTACGTCGCGTTATTTCCGGTGTCGACGATAAACAACATGGCTTCACATTACCGCCACCTCCAGTTCTGGAGGGCAAACTACAAATTTGAACTTCCTCTAAGGAGCGCCATTGTTTGGCTTTAGCTTTTATCATGAAAACTGTGGTGTTTGCTCTTTGTAATAATGCTCATATAAATGTGACACCATCAATGTGTAGCTTAGTTAGCTCCATCAGTGAGTCAGTCTCAGAGATACCTCTAGAGTTAGATAGTGAGTGAATTTAGCTTGTCACAGTTCACATATACACTAATTAAACACACTTGGATTTTGGTTGTCTTCTTTCTTTACAGCCACAATCAAATTTGAGAAGTCAGTGTCTTTGGTTGCATGTCTTATTAAGGCGAGGTTGCTGGAAGTGAACCACAGAACACAGAGAGAAAGATCCTGAAATGACGCTAAAATACAAACAAGAGGAAAGTGGTCAAAGTATTTGATGAAGGCTGAAGAACCTCATAGGCCGACTTCATATGTAAACTTTAATTTGTTTTATATTTTACTAAATTTAAAACAGGGGGATTTCAAATCAAATGTCATGTAAACCTCAGTAGTGTAAGTAGCTGCTGTGAGGCCTTTTTGAGCTTTTTGGGTTGAAGCCAAAAAGACCAGTAGAGGTCCTTAAAGATTTGAACCCTCAGAATTAGTTTGCGCTTCACTGATCTCAACCTGATCCCGATTTACAAACTTATTACTGATTTAATTTTCAGAAATGCAACTGAATAAGTTAAATAAGCTAACAATTTTACTCTTTTTTTCCTTAAGGGCAGCAAATTTAGTTTAAAAAGAAGGAATAGGGCTTTGTTTGGATTCATCACACCCATGCAAGTAGTAAAGCTTGCAACCCCCTTTCATAGTGCAGTTATGACAGGTATAAATACCAGAAGTTATTAGAAGCAGATATTAAAACTGAGACCTCAGTCATGCCATTTAACCTTAGCCGAGCCTTAACTGTGGGGGATGTGAAAACATTTTTTCTTAACTAAAAATCCTCTTCCTTCATTGATGTGATTACATTTAGTCACCCTTCAGACCCTGATGGAAGAGTCTGACTTTAATGCCAGAGTGACTTCATCACTATCCTGGCAAAGTGTGTTAGTGTTTAGGTGTTACCCAAGATCCACAGTGACGGGAGACAGCTGAACCATTTAACAGGTTTCAGTGAACAGTTTCAGGAATGTGCAACAGCACACAATGTTCACAAGCAGTTTTCCAAGGACCAGGACTTCCCTCAGGTAAGTGTTACCAAAACATGGATTCAGACAAGTATTTCCATAGGAACTGGGAGGGTAAGGCTTGCAGTTAACCTTCCAGAACAGAGGAGTCTC